ACTGAAATATATAATTGGGTCAATTAAATAAGTGTTTGGATAAAATAAAAATTAAATCATACAAAGAGAGCAAGAGATATCTGGATGGAATTTAGTTGTTAAGATCCTTTTCCCCTAAGTCAAGAAAAGTAAGATAATTTTGTTGCTGATTTTTACCACCAGAGAGGTAAGAATGGGCTGAATTCAAAACAAAGTTTTAAGAATTAATCAGCTGGAGTTCCTCCTTTTTGAAAATAAATCTTATTGTGAAACAAATGAGGAATAAGAGGATTAAACTTCACTTATACTGGATATGATAGTAGATTTGGCTTTTATCATTGAAAATATTTTTATGGGTTAATTATATGGGGATCTAGCATATCTGTTTCTTCAAAATTTCGATGAATCAGAATGTGTCTGGGGAAGAAGATACTTCTTGTACCTGTACCTTGTAAGGATGTGTATTATTTGTTCCAGTATTATGCATTTGCAAATAATGTTCTAGAGAAAGGGATTATGATTTGTAGGTAGCCTCACAAGGAATTTATTGCTACTGACATGTTAATTATATTAATAGTTGAGGTACTATTTTTATCCAAGTAATTTTAATTTGTATACAAATTCAAATTGTTTCAGTATTAAGGCATAGCATTTACACAGAATTATAAGTGTGAAGTAATAGCTAAAACATTTGAGTTATTTCCAAATACATGAATTATGTAGAATAGATTGTCAAAATTAGAAATTGTTTTCCAGGTAAAGAAAGATAAAAATCTTCTTCTTAGCTCTCTACAAATAACACATAAGGAAAAATATTTACTTTTATGAAATTATAGAATGCTATTAATAAATGACTATGGAATTCATTTAAAGCAGTGAATCTCAACACCAGATTATTTTACTTTATTACTGTATTTCTTATTCGATATGCCAAAAACAGTAACAATAATGGGTCTCATTCCCCTGACCCTTAAAGAGCCCCAATATGACACTGGGCTACGCTAGCACATAACAGGGATGAATGGAGATGTTACTGGTGCCCACTCAAGCAAATCGATGAACAACAGGAGGACAAGTGATACAGTAATACTGTATTTCTATGGGAAGCATGCAGGCGTGCTGGAAGTATAGGGTTGTGTATGAGTAATATGGGGTAAACTTAGGAACTCAAACATACGAGGCTTGTGCTCTACCACTTGAATTATATACCTGATGCAATATTATTTTACTTTTTTAAAATTAGATGCTGATTTATTTCTCCTGGATTACAATTGATGTATGATATAATCATTGAAATAAAATAAGTTTAGTACATTATGCCAATTTAGGTAGAGGACAATAAAGAAACTTTAGAAATCAATCATTAAATCATTACCAGCAATTATAAATAAGATTTAGAAAAGAAGAGAGAGTTCATATTGCCCTGCTTTCTGTCCTAAATTGTTCATTAGTGAAAAAATCAATTCTTTGTGAATTTGAACACACTTCTAAGTATATCAAAATGACCATATTTTTGGAAATTCAACAAAAGAAGCCACATAATTTGACTGAATCTACATTGAAAATAAAATTAAGACAACTTGATATTACTTGAATAAAAAAATACCAGTCTTAGTTAAATCTTCACCACCATCATTACAATCATCATTATCATCATTAATGATCAATTAGACATATTTAGAACTTAGAAAAAATATTTTACATGTGTGACTTTAGTGTATATTTTCTTTCTGTATTTAAAACTTAATTTCAATTAAAGGTAAAATATGAACTGAGATTTATTTAAAATTCAGGCAATTTTCAAAATATTTTGGGCAGGAATTAATCTTCAGATGGAAATATCTTAACATAATTCAAGAAAGCCTTCTTGCAAGGCTTATAGCAAATATAATTGACTATTCCCCAAAGTGAGTAATATTAATAAAAAATCCTGTAACATATTAGCAGGTTTTAGTAAAAGGAATTTGAAAATAAATAATGCTGCAAAATAATTTTATCCAGAGTTGAAAGTGCTTTTCATATTCAAACAAATTGTCAATCTACACACATTACATATGCAGGACTACATGTAGAATTACAACCACAAGATGGGAGGGCACTGGAGGCAGAAGGAAGACTGTGAGCCAAAAGAGCAGGTGGGAAAGCATAAGGCATCCTTTGAGAAGCTGTAGGGGAATTCTGGAGTTGCAAGAGATAAATCTGGAAATGGATGGCAAGAGCCAAACTGTGGATGTTTTGAATGACAGACTAGTTCAATCTCTTTTAAAAGTTAGTTACTACCCATTGAGATTTCTGAGTAGGGAATAATAGTAGAAATATGATACTTTGGGAAGATAATCTGTCCATACTAGATTGCTTTGAAGCAGGAATAATATTTAGAGAACACAGTTAGAAATTCCTAGCAAAGATTTAAGTAAAATTGGTGAAAAGATAATGTACAATAAAGAATGAAAGAAAAATCTATTGAAAAGAAGACATGAGACACAGTTTCAAGGATTTTAAGAGATTCCCAGGGGTGATGATGGTGTTGGTGACCAGAAGAAACTTTTGAAGTATCTTTGTATATGGCTCATGTCTTTTACCCAACTCAAGCTTTCATAAATATTTCTACCATTCTTGATTACATGGCTTACTTATTCACTCTTTACGAATTCCAGCTATTTCACCATAGCCAGAATCTGGAAACAACCTGAGTGCCCAAAAATAGATGACTGCATAAAGAAACTATGGCACCTCTACACAATGGAACACTATGCAGCTCTCAGGAGAAATGCAGCCATGAAATTTGCCTATAACTGGACAGACATAGAGAGTATCATGCTGAGTGAAATGAGTAAGAAGGAAAAGGACATAAAATGACTGCATTCATTTAATAGGACGAATAGCCATGGCCATAAACAGGGCTTAGGAGGAGTGGTCAGTGGTTGGAACTAACCACAAGTAGTGCGGGACTGATGGTACATAAGAGAGAAGAGACTGCTATGACAATAATAGCTGGGAATAATGATCATGCTGGACAATATCTGAGGTTTAAATGTAGGTAAAGGGATATTCTATATAACCTTTTAGTATCAATATTGCAAACCTTAATGAACAAAAACAGAGATAGAGAGAAAGAGAGAGAGAGAGAGAGAGAGAGAGAGAGAGAGAGAGAGAGAGAGAGAGAGAGAGAGAAAGAGAGAAGTACCTGCCAAAGATGCAGGCAAAGGGTAGGAGTTGGAGGGAACCTGGGAATATGGGTGCTGGGAAATGTGCAACTGGTTGAGGGATGGGTATTGGAATATTGTTTGACTGAAATTCAATCAAACTGACTGAATGGCTCTAAAAATAATTTAAAACATTTTTAAAAAGGAGGGGCAGAGAAATAACACAAAAAGAATTCTAGCTAACTGTCATTTATTCTATCTAAAATTGAGTTTTGTGTGCTTTCTTAGTGTCCCGGATATACAATTCCGACACATGTAAAAATGTACTTTGAAAGTTTATTGAAGTATTTATCTCCCCAAATAGATTTTAAGACTTCTGAATATAGGGATCAAATATTTCCATTTTTTACAATTAGCACAGTATCACACAATACAAATGCAGTCACTGGTGAAGGACCATGTCTGGGAATGTAGAGTATGGATATGGCTAAAAGGAAGAAATGGGCATGTAAATGGGTTAAAAAATTGAGGAAAGGTCATTTTATTTTGGAAAAAACAAAAGAAAGAGAATGAAGAAAACAATAAAGTAAAAAATTGGCATGATTAAAAACTTCCAATGACTGTTACACAAACTTAATTCATGAATCAGGGTGCTAAATCATTCCATGGTTTTGGTCCTGTCAGAAATATAAGATATATGACATATCTTTAAAAATAAAAGTATATTGCATTTTCCAACTGCATATTTTATATGCACACATCAAAATTTATGTTTAGTCAAAAATGCACATTGTTTATTCTGAATAAGCACTTTAGGTTTAAATTAAATAAACTATTATATATTCCAGATACAACTTGGAAGGTACAACTGATGCTCTGCATATGGAATTTCTTAGGGATATTTAACACACCTAATTTCTATTTGCCAGTATTTCCTTACCTTCTGCAAGAAAGATAAACTCTCACAAGCCCTGGTAATGGGGCTCATTGATAAAATGATTTGCAGGTGTAAATCATGTTTGAATGCTGCCACCAACCCACTTGCCAAATTTAATTCCAATGGCACTGTCTTTGAAATGGCTATACTAAAACATATGTGATATCCTGATCACCATCACCACGTGCATGTGAGCACAATTTAAAACAGTCAGTTACCCAGTCATTGTTACTTTTTCAAAAAAAATGTGCATGAACCTTGTAAGCTCTTCCACAAAAGAGTGTGCAAACATCACAAGTGAAGTGTTTGACAGCTGGTGAGTACTTCAGTCAAGTGTGAACACCTTCAGTCATCACAGCAAACAAAAAGAAGAAAGAAGGGAATCTAAGAGGATGAGAATAAAGTCCTCCTAATTCACAGATAAATAGAAATCATGTGTACAATATTTGCTCTGATAACTTTGACACAAAATGAGCTTTTAAGAAAAAGAAATGTAGTATTTCCACCTATCATTACTTCTCAACTTTGCCTGACTTCCTATTTGTTTTCTATGGTTCATTTATTAACTTTGGATCTCCATAGATAGTATTTTCATGAAAACATAGATGTACATTCTCAATTGACAATCCTTTTCTCAAAGGCCTACCTACTATTCTTTGTGTCCTGGAACTTTAAAAGAGCTCTGTGCTTGTTTCTGTCCAGTGTTTATATACATATATAATCCTAAAATAAATGCAAATCTGCTCTTTGATCTGCTGTAAGCTTACCAGTGGTTTTATGCTACTTCTTTGGGGTTTGGGGGTGGGTGGAAGGAGCAACTAACAAACATAATCAAAATTTTAATGATATAAATAGCATCTATTTATAAGCCTAATGCACAAATTTTTTCTATAGAGAGACATTCAGGAATATAAAGAATTTTTTTCCATTTGACTTACCTGTTTATGGGCATGATCATAAGAATTAATATGATTATCAAACTCCTGGTGCTTATGATACTGCTTATCACATAATTCACAGTAAAAGTTTGCCTTTACATCTTCCAGGGCCTTTGCTGTGGACTTTTCTTTTTCTGAAAAATCCTTTAAAAAAAGACAAAAATATTGATTACTGGATCTCATTAAAATCAAATTGTGGTTAATTTTACTATGATGTAAATGTATGCTAACGAATTCCTTTTGTTTTTTTCTCTTACCCTAACTTCTTGAAACTATGAAAGTAACTTTCACCCCAACCTTATCTTAAAGTTATCAACTGGTCTATAGTGAAAATGCTCAAAGAAGCCCTAAGATGTAGCTTGTCATTAACCATCCTTCTTCTTGCCACTCATTTTTCTTAGGTAGGTTCTGCTAAGTCACCCAATGGGAATATTCAGCACCATTTCCTCTGCCCATCCAATAACCATCTCAAACACAAATCCTTTGTTTCCTTGAAGTATGTCACAGAATATATCTATCATAATATTTGATTAGGGTATTGATTCAATTATTTTATATCATTCTCTTAACTCTTCTAGTATATTTCTCTGACATGTCAGTACTGGAACTTGCCATTCTTTCTACTAAAAAAAAAGCTATTTGCCTACCAACTCGTTAACTGGTGTGTTCCTACTCTTTTCCAACATGTGATTCTGCTCAATTTCAGAAACATTTCCTTTGACTTTTGTTTTGGTTTATTATCTAATGCATGTATGGACATTCCAATTTTACTCCTTCAAGATATTTATATTTCTTGTCTTCCCAAATGGTAATGTGTACCACGTAACTTAATCTTTTGACAACTGATTTTTCACTTCCATCCTTCAATATAGAATCTCTGAATGAACAAGGGAACTACAAAATTAGTGCCTTATTTATCCATAACCTCTAATTGCAGCCTAAATTTCTTTCACATGCATCAGTTTCTGTTGGTTATAAAAAACAGGTTTATCACATATTTTTCAAAACTGCTATTCTTACTGCTCTGACTGTGCTCTACCTTGGAATCTATGTCACATCATTCCCCAGTTTAAAATCCTTTTGAAGAACCATGAAGACACTATAGGACTTAAGGCATTTTCCGTGCACACAATGAACTTTAACTCAATCATGGAACCACATATGGTCCCAAGAACAGCACCAGGAATGATCCCTGTGCATACAGCAAGGAGTAAGCCCTGAACATGTGGCCCCTTAATACTCCCCCTGTAAACAAATCCTCTTAAAATATTTCATTTTCTACTTAATAGCAACAGATATTTATGAAGCCATGAGCTTATATTAGGCTATGTGAATGTTCAAGTGCAACCCTATAAAAATAAGTTAAATGCATATATTACAGATGTTTCAATCAGTGCTTGAAATGACAGTAATCACTGGCTTAGTAAGCCTCAGTGATTTGAGTTAAAATTGCCCGTGCCTAGATCTCTTGTTAACAAAGAGCTATGCTTACTATTTCCATTTAAGACCAATTTCCTTAATACACTATTCAACTTCTAATTTTGTTAATGTCATCTTATATCAACCCAAGCTTTCACATTAGCCACCTTAATTCTATTATCAAACATGACATATGATATTAAAATATGCTTTGTGTCTATTGTTTCTATAAATCTCTTGAGAGTAGCAACTCTTTTATTCATATTTGGGTCCACAATGTCAAATATATTGTCTACCCCAGAACAAATACCTATTTAATATGGATTACATAAATTAGAGGGTAATGGGGAGGTGCATATTCATGTTTTCTTCTATTCTACAAGATTTTCTCTATTATTTCAGTGCCTAAACAAAAGAATGACTGGCAGTTTGAGGCCTTCAAGTAAATATGCATAATGAACTCATGAGGAAAATAAATGATGTATTTTAACTTAGTTCCTCCAAAAGATTAATACTGAATTTAAAAATCACAGGATTGGAGTTAGTACAGCAGGTAAGACAGTTGCCTTGCATGTGGCTGATCTGGGTTCTATCCCTGGCACCCCATATGGTTATCTGAACCCATTATATGTGATTCCTGAGTGCAATGCCAGGAGTAAGCCTTGAGCACAATTGGGTGTTTCCACTAGCCAAAATAAAGAAGAGAAAATTAAAAAAAATCATGCCAAAAACATTTCATAACGGCATCAATGTCAAACAATTTTGAATGCATAAGCAATTTTTGTAGCTTTTCATAGGTTAGATGAAGTAATCATGCAATTAATTCAGTGATGGTAAGATAATGAGTGAAGCACAACTATTAGTCTATCATGTAGTATAAAGCAGAAAGACCATGAGAATTATTAAAGAGCAAAGCTAGAAAAGCATCTGAAATATCACCTGAGAAATGAAGGAAGAATTTGGTTATGATCTAAGCTAATGGAAGATATTAAAGTGATTAGCCTGGATGTGTTCACTAATGAGAATGTAGACTCTGATTTCAGGGCAAAATTCCAGTTGCTAAAGGAACTGGGTTAATGCTCTGCTAATGTAGTAACATGAAAATTGTGGCAGAAGCATTGAAGAAGATGATCTAAATCTTTGGTTTAGTAGACTAAGAATCAGAAGAAAACATGATTTCTCCTGTTTTCCTTTTCTTAGCAGATTCTTTTATTTTATATCATAATTAGTGAAGCTGAAGTGAAACTAGAAACTAATATTTTTTCTTGCTTTACTGTGTAACTAGAACAGCCTTAGACAACTGACACAATATCTTTGTGCCTTGGATATTTAGCACCTCTGTCACAGAGCTAACAAATGCCTCACCTTTTATTAACTGCGGATGAAAAGTGAGGTGGAAACTGAGAATTAAGGTTAAACCTATGACTTACAAAAAGGATTTCTATATAATATGGAAATATTATATCAAGGGATCAAAAACTTAAAAAATAAAAATTGAGGGTAAAAATCTCAGGTATGGATCACTGCCGATCAAGAGCCCGGTAGGACCTGAGGAGTTATGGAAGAAAGAAAAAAAATAAAGTTAATAAGACTTTTTGGCAAAAAATTGTACATGGAGATTAGAGCTAGGACTGACTTTTAGTAAGAACCATAAACCAGTGAACCATGATTTACTCAGTAAGAGGTAGGGCGGTTCTCAAGTGTGAAATTGAACTATCTGGGGCAAAGAACTGAATTAGTCCAGCTGATTATTTCAGAAGGCTAAAGGGTAAGTCTCAGACTACTGGTATCTCATAGTTTAAATTACCAGTTAGCAGAAGAGACAACTGCTGTTGAGTAATTTCATGATTTATATAAAATCCAGTAATAAAAAAGGGGGCATAGCTTCTACTATGTCAAATAGAATCAATCTCATTTATCTAATCATTCCTCTATTCCTCTAAGTATGCAAATGCCCAGTTATCTATTAAGCATGAGACACTTAAGAATCTGTTTTCAAGCAACTTCTGAGTATTATTTTTTAAACAAAACTGAACCTCCAAAATTTATGGTATAATATGACAAAAGACAAGGTAAAAAAATTAAGATAGATTTGAGTGATAATGATAATTACTACAGAAGTTGCCTACTTAATATTAGTGAAGAGGGGCTGGAGCAATAGCACAGTGGGGAGGGCATTTGCCTTGCACACAGCCAACCCGAGTTTGATTCCCAGCATCCCATATATCCCAGCATCCCTGAGCACCGACAGGAGTAATTCCTGAGTGCAGAACCAAGAGTGACCCCTGAGCATCACTGTGACCCAAAAAGAAAAAAAAATTAAAATTAAAAAAAACTGCCACTGGAAACTCATGAATTTAAAAAAAAATAGTGAAGAATAACTGGAAGGAAATTCAGAATATTTCCCTTTCTCACATAGTGTTATAAGCGTCAGAATGTATTACCTTTTTCTGAATGATGAATTATTTTAATGGTCAAATAGACTTAAAGGCAACTTAAGGTGAGTTTTACTTTCTGAAGTATAGCATATTTAATTATAAAATCTTTAAATATATATTTAGAGATAGAATAGTTACCATACTCAGTATCAGTAATGTTAATAATTAAAAGAGTCATGAAATTCATAATAAAATAGTATAAATGTTGGACCAGAGGGATAGTACAAAGGGTTGGATGTTGCTTTGCAAGGCTGATCTAGATTCAATCATCTGAATCCCATATGGTGCCCAAGGTTGCCAGGAGTGATTTCTGAGCACAAAGTCAGGAGTAACCACTAAGCACTTCTGGGTGTGACCCCAAAACAAAACCAAACAAGCTCCACCAGGAGTGATCCTTTACTATAGAGCCAGTAGAAAGTCTTGTGTACAAACAAACAAAAAACACAGTGTAAATGCAATATTTTATGTATAACTCTACTAGTTTTCTATTTGCTCAATTTTATTTTCCTACAATATGCATAGAAAAGGAGGCTACAGAAGATTTATTTAATAACATTTATTAAATAATAGAAAAACACTTGTTAGACATTCTCAATGATTCATTAAAAGTTGAAAATGAATTATAAATTGAAAATGACAATTATCTTAACAAGAGCCATTTTTTAAGCATTAGGTATTGCCAGTGGGTATATAGTGTTGCAGTTCAGTAAGAATTCTGTAGTAATTAATTGCTTTTTATAATTAATATGTAGGTCAAAACAGAGAGAAATATTTTTCACACCAAGTATTGTATATTCATGCATGTAACAAGTGTCTATAAAGTGCAAATATTCCAAGTAGAGCAATATCCTTATTTAGAAACACCAGGTACTTGCTACCAATTTATTTTTGTTGTAATGACAGTTAAATGTTAATATTCACTGAGTTCTCACCATATACCAGTAGTACTCCAATCAATTTATACATGTTGACTGCTAATCTTATCAATTAAATGTATTTGTCTATCATTATTGCATAGATTTTATAAAAGTTATGAACATATTTTGAAAACTGCTTGATGTTGGAAAACAAAGACAAGGGGCTTAGAGAGACCATACATCATGTAGAGTGCTTGCTTTGCATGAGATCAACCTGAGTTTGATCCCTAGGACCTCACATGGTCTCCCAAGCTCCACCAGGAGTGATCCTTTACTATAGAGCCAGTAGAAAGTCTTGTGTACATCCTGATCTGACTCCCAACCACCACTACTCCAACCACCACTACAGGGAAGTCAAAAACTGAAAAAA